AACATGAAATCTTGGAGTTGTCATTTTCTTTTTTCTTTTTTTTTTTATTGAAAAAGTTTTAAAACAAACACAATTTCCCCACAACCCCCCCTCCCAACCCCCCCTCCCCCTCCCCGACTTCCCAAAGCAGAACACAAGGTATTTCTATTGACCTTTAACAATAAACTAAATTGCATAACCAATCATTAAACTAACACCCCCTAAAAAAAAAAATTCTTAACCCCCCATATATAAAATCCTATTTCTTAAACATAATACTTCTAATATCACTTATATAACGCTTATACAAATAAAAGAAATCATTCATAAGCTATTTGATATTTTTTGGTCTGATATTTATTTTGTATATAATCAATCCATCTTCTCCAGTCCTGTATGTACCTTTCTTGTGTGTGATCCTTCAGATATGCTGAAATTTTAGCCATTTCAGCTAAATTAGTTACTTTCAATATCCAATCATCAATAGTAGGCAAAAAGTCCTTCTTCCAGTGTTGTGCTACCAACAATCTTGCTGCTGTTATCAAGTTCAAAATCAATTTAGTCTCTGCAACTGTACAGTCCGTAGTTATACCCAGTAAGAACAACTGTGGAGTAAATTTCAGTCTCTTTTTAAAAATATTCTGCATCACCCACCAAATCTTTATCCAAAATGCTTTGATTTTTCTATAAATCCACCATATATGATAATAAGTTGCATCATCACAGTCACATCTCCAACATTTAGCTTGCACATTAGAATACATACATGATAATTTTTTAGGATCTAAATGCCATCTATAAAACATTTTATAAAAATTTTCTCTTAAATTTTGTGCTTGTGTAAATTGAATTGTCATTTTCTATGGTTCATCCCAAAGTTTTTTAGAATGGAAATCTCTGAGCAAGAGATCAATACAGGTACAATACCTGTATCAATTCACGGACTCCTCGACTTACAACCCCAATTGAGCCCATCATTTCTGTTGCTAAGCGAGATAATTTGTTAAGTGAGGTTTGCATCCATTTTATGACTTTTCTTGCCATAGTTAAGTGAATCACTGCACTTGTTAATTTACTAACACAATTCTTAAGTAAATCTGGCTTTGCTTGTCAGAAGGTCACAAAAGGCAATCTCAGGATAATGCAGACTCCGGGACACTACAACCATCATAAATATGAACCAATTGCCAAGCGCTTGAATTTTGACACACACACACACACAACCTGTGAGGATGCTGCAATGTAAGTGTGAAAAATGGTCATAAGTCACTTAAAAAAAAAAAAAACCTTTGAACCCTTCCATTCATAGCCAAGAGATTACCAACAGTCGGCCATTCAGGTTATCATCAGAAGATCTTGTTCCTAATACTTGCTTTTGATTCTCGTCAAAACCAACTGAGGATTTCACAAATGGATATATGGCTGCTATGAAATTCTACCTTGAAAATAAAACATGCGTTATAATCTCCTTTCTCATTACCTTGATACAAGAGTGGCAGATTTTGATCCTTCCACAAGCTTTTCCAGCCATTACCATTCTCTTCCATTAATACTAAGCATCTTCTCCACGATGAAAAAAATAAAGTCTCCTTGAAGTCATAGTTGAGTTTTGGTGACTCTCTGGGCCTATTTGGCAATTCAGGAGCATGTTTGCCATTGCCTTCTAGGATTTCTTTTTCATTTGCTATTCTAGTTTGTCACCCAGAATTTCCTGGGTGTTCTCCAATCTCACAACTAACCAGATCTGATTCTTCTTTGTTTTTCAGCATTAGCTAAACACAAAAAACTTCTCTGCATCTTTTTTACCAGGCTGCAGGAGATTCATTTAGTGAAGTGCTGACTGGCTAAAAAGTTTAAATTAATTTATCAAATGAGCCTTTGCTCCTGCTATCATTTGGCTTCAGCTGTCCTCTGGGATCGAAAGCTCACAGCTTGGTGGTCAATGGAGAATATATGTTTGGTAGAACTTTCACCTCCATGCAAATGTAAGAATCCTCTCAGGGTTTATACATGATCACTCTGTTAATCTTGCCTCTTTTAAGATAGCCTGTGTTAGGTTGCTCTGGATATTCCTCTTTGCTTGCTTGATATGGAAGCTGGTGTGATTGCATTTTATTTATTTTTACTTCAAATTTATATACCGCCCTTCTCCCTAGGGACTCAGGGCGGTGTACAGCCAAGTAAAAACACATAAATACATAATACATAATACATAAATTAAGAACAGTTTAAAAGGAAATATCTCAATTTGGCCCAAAATTTAAAAAGACAAATCATTTAAAAGGATTTGTTAGGCCAGCCCGGCTTGTTGGAAAAGGAAAGTTTTAAGGGCACGGCGGAAGGCACGGAGGTCTTGGATTCTCCTTATCTCTGGGGGCAGTTGATTCCAGAGGGTGGGAGCCCCCACAGAGAAGGCCCTCCCCCTGGGGGTCACCAGCCCGCATTGCTTGGCTGATGGCACCCCGAGGAGGCCCTCTCTGTGGGAGCACACGGGTCAATGGGAGGTCGTTGGTGGCAGAAGGCGGTCTCGAAGATAATTTGCGTTTGGGGTACTTTTATTGCTCTTTGCTATTTAGAAAAACCAGCTATTTATTTCCTTCAAACATGCCTAATTGCACCTCTATTCCATACAGGTTATATCATCACCATCATCATGACCAAGAGGCTATAAATGCTGATTTTACAGTATTAGTCTAGTAGTGAATGTTCACAGCATCCTACTAAAATGTTTGGGAGCTCTTAGAAGATTCTTGTCTTTGAAAATGGATGGATTATTTCTGGGGGAGCAAAAGAGATGAGGTGGCCCATGACTCAACTAGCAGTGAAATTTTTAAAAAAGGTAAACAAAACAATCTAATACATAAATTTACTTGCAATTTGGACTTGGCTCCCTTTTTTAATGCTTCTGCTGTTCTCCACCCCCACGGCACCCCCAGTTAAAGATGGCACCTACTGATTCTACTGTTGTTCTCCACAGAATATTCATTAGTGTTTTCCAATGGTGGGGGGGACATTTTAGAATAAAGTGGCCTGTGACCTCATTCTGAGTTAAAAGAAAGAGGGAAGGAAGGAAATGGGCCAGTTTATTATACTTTTGTGTATTATATTTGTCAATTACAACCATGTATAAATGTGGAGTTTAACATTTTGCTTTAGAAAAAAAACTTGCTGTAAAGTGGCTTACTGTATAGTCTTTCTAGAAAGCTTGTAAACATCAGGCTCATTTCATACTTTTGGTCATAAAGAGAATATTTATGACACCTCCAGTGTTGTTTTATGTTCTTATTTGAGACACAAAGAGATAAACACAGATTTACTGATGTTTTTGAAATTAACAACCTTGCCGGTCAGTTAAATTTGCATAGCAGAAGAGTGAAGGTGGGATACCCAATCATTTATTTATTTATTTATTTATTTATTTATTTATTTATTTATTTATCGGATTTGTATGCCGCCCTTCTCCCAAAGGACTCTGGGCGGCTCAGAACAATAAGAAACAGAAAATGCAAAAGTTAAAAGACAAATTAAAGCAGAATATCTAATAAATAAGGTTAAATGTGGGAATACAAATTCAAATTTAAGATTTAAGAATTTAAAAAGCTACAAAATCAATTTAGAGTCAACCCAGGCCCGCCCGTTGGAAGAGCCAGGTCTTCAAGGCCCGGCGGAAGGTTCGGAGGTCGGGGATTATCTGGAGCTCCAGGGGCAACGTATTCCAGAGGGTAGGGGCTCCCACAGAGAAGGCTCTCCCCCTAGGAATCACCAATTGACATTGTCTAGCCGAAGGTACCCTGAGGAGGCCAACTCTGTGGGAGCGAACTGGGCGATGGAAGAGCTACCAGTGGCAGGAGGTGGTCTCGCAAGTATTCTGGTCCTAGGCCACGTAGGGCTTTAAATGTGATCACCAGCACCTTGAATTGCATTCGGAAGAAAACAGGGTCTTCCGGTTATAACTTATTTTTTTATACATACAAAACACTGGCATGAGTTGATTTAAATGGTCTGCAGAAATAAACAGTGTTGACTTTAGCCAAAAACAGGCTGTCTTTAACCGCATTTCTGTTTTGTGGTGTGGGAACAAAGATTCTTGGGTTACACTCGGAAAAAAAAACAACCAAATCTAAAGGATAAGGAATTCCAGAGGGGCGAGGGTGGATTTTTTTCCTATCTTTACTTTTTTCAGAAGGTGCCTCTGTGCAGCTTTATAGGCCAAAGTGCTGTTTTCTAGTGTGTTGTGTGGATTTAGTTTATGTGGTTAGTTGATGGTATATTGTGCAAAGCCAGACAACCAGACTTATTCAAGAAACCATTCTCCATTTAATGATGGATTTTCATTTTTATTTTTTTTTAATTTGATTTATATGCCGCCCTTCTCCGGAGACTCAGGGCGGCTTACAATGCGTTAAGCAATAGCCTTCATTCTTTTGTATGTTTTTTTTATACAAAGTCAGCTTATTGCCCCCACAAACTGGGTCGTCATTTCACCTACCTTAGAAAGGATGGAAGGCTGAGTCAACCTTGAGCCTTGGAGAGATTCGAACCAGCAGAAATTGCAGGCAGCTGTGTTAATTACAGGGTGCACTAAACCCCTGTACTATCAAGGCTCTTTTGTACAAACATACCGCATAGCTGGATAAAGTAAATGTTTGATCAATCTCCCAATAAAGGAGAATAAATTACATTTTTCTCATACTGATAAATTACATTTTTCTCATACTGATATTAACAGCAGCTTTGGATCCAGCCAAATCATTCTGTGCACAACATTACTGGATTGAATCTTTACATCCCCTTGTGCAGAACGGAAATATTAAGACTCCTTCAATTTGATAAGTGAGCTTCTTTAACACCATCTAGGTGTAATTACTCCTATTTCTCCTGCCGGGGCAGGAAAACAGTCCAACATTAAAAGTCCATTTGCTTGGAGTAGCCTCCTGATTTAGTCAGACAATTCTTCCACCAAGTCCCCTTCCTTGCCAGTCGGGGAACCGAGGACCAATTGGCAGCCAACAGGCTCTTTCTCAGGCTGACCCGGGAAGGGCCCCCTCCCAGAGCCTGCCGGGGCCGCGATCAGGGCCGCCCTTCTGCATGAACTGCGCAAAGTGGTTGGTGACAGACAAGGTGGTGTCGATGAAGTGGTTGACACAGTTGGCCAGGCAGGTCTCAGTCCAGGAATTGAGCTTGGAGCTGGGCTTGTCCAAGCACTTCTCCCAGCAGGCCTCCATGAAGGTGTGGACCTGGGCCGTGAGTCATGCCTGCTGCTCCTCGGCTGCCACCAGCCGCTGCAGCTCCACCACCTCGGCCTCTTGGATCATGCACAGTCTTGGCAATCATGCGCAGTACCCTGTTCCATTTACTACAATTCTGGTCCAAAGTATGACACTTCCCATACACTTTTACATCTTCCCTCTATGCTTGATCAATTCTACCTCAGAGGGCCTTTATCTCATGTAGTTCACAAAGGAGCTATATTTTGTGAACAGAAAGATATCCCATTGTGCCTTCTTCAAAAAATATGATTCTCTACACTTTAGAGAGGCTGAAATCACCTCACACAATGCATTCTAACTGTGTGATTTACTCTAAGTGAACCTGGGGATAAGTATAGGAGGTCCTGGATACAAGGGCAATTCTAGGTTATCTGTATGTCTCCATGCCAAAATCTCATGGATAATCACAGGAGCGACTCTTGGACCCTGACAGTATAGTTGCTGTAGGCCTTGAAACCTTGGAGGGAAAATTTATGATAGGTCCACCTTCCCATAGCAGCCTAATTAGGTCTCAATAATACACATCAGTTCTACTTACACATTGATCTCTGAGCATACTCATTAACCTCATTAATAACATTAATGGACAGATACAGTCCTATTTCCTACAGACCTGACAAAAGCAGCAACCGCCTAGTGATTTGGTTTCCCAGAAACACACTGGACATACTAAAACTGGGGCTAGGTATGGAATATGCTATAGTAAAATGAATTGTGTAGCTCATTTTTTTTAATTGCTACTCACCTTAATCTGGTGATTCACGGAAGTAGATAGCAGTAGCAATAGCACTTAGACTTATATACCACTTCATAGTGCTTTTACAGCCCTCTCTAAGTGATTTACAGAGACAGCATGTTGCCCCCAATAATCTGGGTCCTCATTTTAACAACCTAGGAAGGATGGAAGGCTGAGTCAGCCTTGAGCTGCTCAGAATCAAACTCCTGACAGCAGTGAGTTAGCCCGTGATACTGCATTCTAACCACTGTGCCACCACAGCTCCATTTGTTTTGTTTTGTTTTTAGTAATGTGAGGAAACATGCATACAAAAAGTCATAGATACTGAAAATATGATTATTCAGAAGGAAGGAGGGAAAGGATCCAATGATGTTGCACAGAACAGAAAAGAAGAAACTAGAGTCATTTTTGCTTGTTTATCCCCTGCCATTAAAAGGCTCATCAGCAATTTCCTCCTTTTATCATTAGTTATTTTTTGTTGTATTGGACAATATATCAATTTCCAGATGAGCTGTATTCACATGAATATCCCTTTGGGGATAGGTATTAATAATATTGAAGTGGTGGATAGCTTCTTCCTTTTAGGATCAATGATCAACAATAAACAAGCTGTCAAGAAATACACAGCAGATTAGCACTTGGTAGAATAGCCATGAAGGCATTGGAAAAGATATTCAAATTCTGTGATATGTCTATAACTACGAAGAGAAGAATTGTGCAAGCCATAGTACTTCCTGTGACCCTCTGTAAATCAGATTTTAAAGAAACAGAATATGAAGCGTATTGAAGCTTCTAAATTTTGGATTGGAGAAGACTCATATTCAGCCAACAAATGGATCCTCAAACAAACCCAGAATTCTTACTTGAGATATGAATGATCAGGCACAAATTGTTCTATGCCAAACACAGTAGGCAAAGACTTAGCTTTCTGGACAAGGCTTTAATGCTGGAAAGATGGAAGCGAAGAGAGGAAGAGAAGACACCTAGCAGCAAAGTGAATTGACTTAGATACAGTGATGATCACAGGAAGTCCTGTGAAATATTTTCTATCTTCCTCTAATGCAGGGGTCTGCAACCTTAAATACTCAAAGAGCCATTTGGACCCGTTTCCCACAGAAAAGAAAACACTGGGAGCCACAAAACCTGGGTGGGCATGGCCAACTCAATGTCACTCACTTCCACCAGTCACATGACCCCCCCCAGCCACGCCTACCCAGCCGGTCATTAGGGCAGAGAACCAGTTGTTAAAAAACACCGGGAATCACAAAACCCTTTTGATCTCTCTCTATCCCTCCCTCCCCCCCTCTTCCTCTCTCCCCACCTCTCTCTCTGTATTTCTCTATGTTTCTCTCTCTCCTCCTCTCTCTTTATCTCTCTGTCTCTGCCCCAGCCACTTCTCCATCACCCGCTGTCGCCGTTACCTTCTCAGGCCAGGCAAGGAGCGACTGGGAGGGGAGGGCAAGGGGCAGGGCCAGCCAGTGGTGGTATCACCCGACAGGGAGCCACAGCAGAGGGCCCAAAGAGCCGTATGCGGCTCCGGAGCCACAGGTTGCTGACATCTGCTCTAGTGTGTTGGGAAATGTTTCTCACGCACCATTCCTTGGAAGTGTGAATGAAATAGTCTTCCCTATGTTTCACGGCTCCTCAGTGTCATGGGGGGGAAGGGTTTCTCTTAGACTTATGGGCAGCCTCAAGCAAACTAACATCTCCAAAGCTGATTTCCTTTGTCTGAGAGATTCAGAGTGTTAACACCAGAATAAGATATAGCTTCAAGCTAGGTAGCTGCTTTGTTTTTCTGCACTTTTTAATGATCAGGCTAATCAATAATGTCTTTTTCATTTATTAGACACTGGGAAAAAAATGCCTGTTAACTTACAAGTACAAAATCTTGCAGGTAGTGTCTCTGTTTGCTTAGAATATATTGATCCAGTGGCTTAGTCAAAAGTTAGGCAGCTCACTGTAAACAGTTTTTGAGATTTGTGGTTTTATCTGCTAATTCAAAACAAAAAATTAAACTCCAATCAATAGTATGGATTGTTCCCTCTTTAACACGTTATTCAAAGAAATAGAAATAAATGTATTTAGATCCTTTTGCAATATAGATTTATGTATCCATCTACAATGTTTCATTATTTATTTTAGCAGCACTTGAACTGCAAACCCTTTTGTACATTATTTAGGGCTATTAAATATGAAACACAAATCTAAATATTTAATAAACTCTGCACCTCAGTACTCTCAAGGATATTAGGATTTTCTAAACCACACACACTTCAGAGGCAAGACTGCTGATTTGTCCTTCCTTAGCCTTTTGTCACAACTGAAAAAAATGCTGCCTAAATGCTGGCCTTTTAGCATTTTATTTTGTGTGTGTATGTGTGTGTGTGTGTGTGTGTGTTTAAGATAGTTTCATTTAGCTAAGACCTAAAACAAAGCTCAAAAGAGGATGGCTCTATTACTATGAATGAAGTGAGGCAGGTTGAACTGAAATAAAACACCGAAAACAACTGAACCTCCAAGTCAACACCATACTTCTTTTAAATTTATTCTGTTTACTCACTTCAAAGGCACTTAATAGGAGATGCTGCGTGATTAAAACAGATTCATTTGCAAGAAAAGGAAGGATAGAGATTATGGATGCTTACTATTGCCATGCATAGATAAGCACATCCATCTTTATCTGTGGCAAGAATGACCAAGCTGTAAAGATCAGTCAGGTAATGCAAAAATCTTGTAGGATCCCCATTTCCCTACCCTGAGGCATGTTACTCATTCCAGATTAACTGTAGATATAATCTCTTAACTAGGTGAGCACTCAACACACAGGTGGACAGGAGGAAAATCACTTGTTGTCCTATGGTGGCTAACTGATAGTGGCATCTGACTTCTCTTTCCTATTGGTCCAATTTCCATCCTGTCCTCTGTAGGGAATGACAGGGACCTTCTGAAAACAATTTATTTATTTATTTATTTATTTATTTATTTATTTATTTATTTATTATTAAAATTTATATGCCGCCCTTCTCCCGAAGGACTCGGGGTGGCTCACACAAATAAAACAACAACAATAACACCTAAAACCAATATGAAAATTAAAATCCCCAAAATTAAAACCTCATAGTTGATCAGGGAGTTTGCTGGAACAGCCATGTCTTCAGGCCAGCGTGAAAAGTGCGGAGATCGGGAGCCGTCCGGAGCTCGGTGGGTAACCCATTCCAGAGGATCAGTGAGGCCACAGAGAATGCCCTCATCCTAGGGGTCACCAGCCGACATTGTCTGGCTGACGGCACCCGGAGGAGGGCGACTCTATGTGAACGCACTGGGCGGTGGGAGGCCGGTAGGAGGTGGTCCTGCAAGTATCCCGGGCCCATGCCATGTAGGGCTTTATAGGTCAATACCAGCACCTTGAAGCAGATCCAGAAGGCCACCACAATTGTATAAGGTTTATGATTGTTTTTTCCTTTTAAAATATATCCTATCACAGTGATGGCTAACCTTTTTGCCATCATGTGCCAAAAATGGGGGGAGCGCAGGGGGTCATGCGCATGTGTACCCTCACCCATAATTCAATGTGCCCCATCCCCCCCGAACTGCCCCCGCTTTTGGCACGCAATGGCACGGTGGGCCCAGTAGGCCCATTTTTCACCCTCCCCAGACTCCAGAGCCTATCTACGAGCATGGGGAGGACGAAAACGGCCTTCCCCACCCCCCTGGAGGTCAGAAACAGCCTGTTTCCCGACTTCCAGTGGGCCCAGAAATCAGCTGACCAGTGCACGCATGCGCGGAGGACCTGAGCTAGGGCAACGCTCACGTGCCCATCGATATGGCTCTGCGTGCCACCTGTGGGACGCGTGCCATAGTTTCGCCATCACGGTCCTATCAGAAAAACCTAAGAGCTCTTCCCATGGTTTTAATTATATCTTTTCTGCTTTGTCCATATTAAATTTTTCAATTCATATCTGTATCTTGATCTGGAGGAGGAAAGGACTGTTTTTTGTATTATACACTAAAGAAAGAAAATATCCAGGGGAGCTATTGGTGTGGTTAAATTGGAGCCCAAAGGGATTATAAATGACCTGCTCAAGATCACACAGCATGTCACAATGCTCCCTCTCAGTGGGCTTAGGTCTTTGTGTTCTTACTAAAGATAGATATTTGTGTTGTATTCATTCCCCAGTGGAAAGGAAGAAAATGTTAAGCAACAGAAAGTTCCAACAGATGGGAAGGAAGGAAGGAATGAAGGAAGGGAGGGAGGGAGGGAGGGAGGGTGGAGGGTAAAGAGAGAGAGGAAGAGGGGAAAGGAAGAAAGGAAAGGA